GGAAGGGCTCCTCATCCAGCCTTGTGAACTTAGACAAAATGCTTCAGCACTCAGACCCTCAGTGTCCTCATCTGTAAAATGGAGGGAAACACAATCCTGCCTTGCTGGGTTGCTTGGGGGATTAAATAAGTTAATAAATAAATACAGCATACTGGGTTGCTATCATAGTTATTGCCTGGAACAACCTGAATGTCCAATAAGAAGAGACTATTTGGTACACCTCATAACACTACAGGTTTTCACTGGGTCTACCAGGTACCTAACCAGCTGTACAAATCACCTCCCTACTCAAGACCACGATTTCTTCTATTAAAGCACAGACCACATGCATGCTGCCCTTTTCCAATGAACTTGCCCACTGTCTTTCCCTGGTCTTCAATATTCCAGTGCACACAGGGTCACCATCCAGCTAAGCCTTCTTCTCAACCTGTCTGAGCTCCTGCAAGGGCTTCTCAGGTGCCACCGGCCTCCCCATGTCCCATGAGCCCTTCTACTGTCAGCCAGAGGCATCCCCCAAAATACACTAACCTGAGTGTGTCACTGGCCTGCTGAAAAATCTTCCATCAGGTCAAAATTCCAAGTTCTTAGGGTGACATACAATTCTACCCTTGATCTTTCCTGCTCTGCTCTCTGTCCCCTCCCCAACCCATCCAAGCAGAATTCCATGCAATTCCCAAACACCCATATGTTCCATCACACCACTGGACCTTTGCACATCCTGGCTCCTCCAACAGGAGCACCTTCTGTCCACCCTCCAGCCTTCAACCTTATTGGCCTGGCAGCAGCCTCTCATTTCTTTGACTCAGGCATCCCCTGTCCTTCGTGCTGGCCCTGCAGCATAAGGCTGAATTAAGGGCCCCTCCTCAGGCCTCCACAGCCCCTTGCTCTTCCCTGCCTTGGGGCCCCACTGTCCATCCTGCAACTGATCATTTAATTGCCTGCTGCTCCTTCTCCTTCTCTCAAAGTCAGGCTTTCATTTCTAGGTACTCAGAGCCCAGTGGAGACACTGGCACAACACTGAATTACTAAATGACCAAAAGCATAAAGAAAATGGTGTTTATGATGCTTTCATGAACAGTCTAAGCTCAGCAGCAGCTTCTGGGGTATGTGGGGTAGAGACTGACCACAAAGATCAGGAGGAAACTTTCTGGGGTCCTAATAACATTCTATCTTGATATGGGTTTGAGATATTCATTTATCAAAAGTCATCAAACAGTAACTTAAGATTCAGAAATTTCACTATGTAAGTTTTACCTTAAGAAAAAAAAAAAACAGGTACTGGACTCTGGCTAATGATGTGCACAGCCATGTGTCTGGGTGAAGGATGCTAATGTATTTCAAAGTCAGCTTCACATAAAAAAAAAACCTGGCTGGCTGGCTGCCCACACACATGAAAGAGCGTTTAGCAAAATGTTCACTGTAGAATCTGGCTGGTGGGTACTCAGGCACTCACTGTGTAATTCTTTCAACTTTTCTGTAGGTTTGAAATATTCATAAAATGTTGGGGGAAAAATATTACACCCTTATGGACAGGACTGAAAATATCTTATACTAAAGAAGCTAAGCGGTGTTTACTGATTGTGCTAAACCCATGTTCTTCAACTGTGAACCACCTGCGGATTTTGTTCAGATGAGACTGGCTCAGCAGGCCAAAGATTCTGCGTTTCTAATAGGCACTTGGCGGATGCCAATGCTGGTCTGCAGACCCCACTTTGAGACGTTAGGGTTAGCCCGCGGCCATGCTTGTCTGCCCTTGATACCTGCTTGTCTGCGCTTGATACCCGCAACTGCAAGTGAAGCCCCTCCCCACCACCCTAAGCAGCAGCCTCAGGGCCAGCAAGATAAAGGGCCCAAGGTAGGCAGGAGCTCAGAGAGCTCTGTGAGGCTTGATCAGCCGCTCCCAGAAGCCCCGTCAGCCCAGGGCCTGGAGGAGAGCAGCCCTACCAAGAACCCAGGGCTGACACAGACATCTGAGTCATGCAACAGGCTCAGGGCCAGCTGGGGAGGACGGCCAGCTGGGGAGGACGGCCAGCTCGGTGACTCAGCAGCAGGGAGCCTGGAGCACCCCACCCAGGCCCCGCCTGACTCCAGGCACTGTGGGCTTGGCGGACAGCTCTGAGGATAGGAGAGTGGCAGGGGCAGAACTGTCCCCATCCTTCAGGCTCCACAGCGATGGGAGCCCCGAGGGTGGCGGGGAGACGGGCCAACAGGGCACCTGACAGTGCCCTCATCAGCCCATCATGGGCCTCAGACCCAGTGTGGGGATGGGGCTGCAGGAGCATCAGTGGAGCCTCCACCCATTCTCAAGAGGGGGACACTGAGGTCCTGAAAGGAGGATTTGCCCCAAGTCACAAATCTAAGTCTCCTGATTCCCAGACTTCAGGTAGCTCCAGTTAACTGCCTGCTGACCGGCTGACTGGACATCTCCCAGTGAGACCAGAAGCCCCCCGAGGGCACGCAGCACACTGCATTTTCCAAAGGTGGCCAGACACTGTCTGCTATCCTACAAACTCTCTTACAGGAGACTTCACCACTCCGCCATCTAGAGGTGAGATAAGTGTCTCCAACACTTGCCCTCAGGAGGCCTTTTGTGATTGCTTCAATGAACAGAGTGTGGCAGAAGTGACACTGTGTGACTTCCAGGATAGGGTCATAAAAGACGATACAGCTTCCACATGGCTCTCTCTTCCACTCGCTCTCAGAGACCAGCTGCCATGCTGTGAGGAAGCCCAGGCCATGTGAGGAGAGCACATGTCAACCCCAGCTGGCTCCAGCCCGTGGCCAGTGTTAACCACCAGACTCATGGGTGAGGGAGCCTCCAGTCCACCAAGTTAAACACCATGCAACTGCTACTACAGGAGAGACCCTGAGGGAAGAGCCATCCAGGAGAGCCCAGTTAACACGCAGGACTCTGGAACATAATCAACTACTACTGCTGTTTTATGCAACTAAATTCAGGGTGCTTTGTTACAGAAATTTAATAGGTAACTGCAGCAAGGCATGAACCACCTCTACTTCACATACTGCTGGGTCCCCAGAACCAAGCACAGTATGCAACGGATGCTTAATAAAAGTCTGTTGAAGGGATTAAAGGACCCAGGGTCTGCCCAACTCCAGAATGAAGCTCCTCTCCCATCACACCATGCTGCCTCTGCCAACAGAGTTAGGGTGTAAGTTAGGGCCTAACAGCCCAGCAACCTCTGTGAAGCTTGATTCCTAAAAATGAGAAGAAAGCCCAGGAGCAGAGTCAGGGTGCCCTGGGCCACCGTGACCCAGCCTCCAGCTGCAGAGCTGAGAGCATGGGGCTGCCCCAGCCAGCAGAACAGGCCTCAGGCCCAGGTGGCCAGAGCCACAGAGAGCACAACAGGAGGAAGGCGGCTCTAGGAGCCACCTCCGTGCACCCAGGAAAGCAGCCACAGGAATTTGATCCAGTCCCCAGAAGGGATCAAAATTCTCTCCCCCATAAAGCAACCAGGCCTGTCCACTCCGAAAGACCTGCCTCTCAGGCCCCAGGGAGGAGCCTGAAGAGTCAGGGGATCTGCACGTCGGCCTGTCTGCCTCTCACAAGCTCAGGTGACCCTCAGAGCAGCCCAGGGTCTGCACCACTCGGGTGGGTGTGACTTGTTTGGTATGATTCCCAGCCCCACAACACAGTCTGACATTTAATAAATGTTTCCTGATGCGGACACTCCACTGCCCCATACCCACCCCTGGGCAACAGACACTGACGAACAACAGACACAGCCATAGACATTTGAGTCCCTCCTTTGTGCCAGGCATCAATTGGGATCCAACGGGTGGCCCAGGCATGGTCACTGCCCTGCTAAACTTTACACACACGCACACGTGCACACACACACACACACACACACACAATGAATATACCAATGTACACAAGCACATCTATGTGCAAACACATCAACATCAATATATGCACATGTACAAACATGCGCACATGCACACACCCCTATGTGCACACACATACACACACACACATACAAACACACACTTTGCTAATTTCTCCAACCCAGTTCCTCTTTGAGCAGGGAAATCCAAGAATGGGGCCTCTCAGAACTCACACTAGGACACAAGCTAGCCAGCGTTAAGCCCCTCCTCCTCCCAGCCGATGCCTCATGGACTCCTTCATCATTCACAGAGGCAGCCTCGGACTTCTGCTCAGGTTCAGGCCAAACCCGACAGTTGAAAACTGCTTCTGCTGCAATTCCACCTGGTAACAGCTGACTAACCATGAACAAAGCAGCAAATTAATGCTCAAAAGGCTTTCCCTCCCACTCAGAATAAAATCGAACAGCTCATCAGCCTACAGATGACCGTCCCCACATCTCAGATGCCCTCTCCTGCCTCTTACTGCTCCAGCCATGCTGGCCTTCCCTGTGGCTTCCTCAACATTCCATGGAGGCTCCCACCCAAGGGCCTCAAAGCGACGGAACAGACCAAGGGTATCAAACTCAAATCTCTCAAGGGCCAGGCACATACCATCAAAGAATTGGAAGCAAGACTGTATTATGCAATAGGGAGTGGTAGGGACTGTGGTAAACTAGGGCAACACTCCTCAGCTCTGGCCCAACCACTGCCATGTAGGATAATGGCCCTAATGCTGACAGAACTTCTCATTTTTCTAGAAAACCTGGATGGGTAAACTTCATGTGAAATTTCCTGATTTTTAAATGTTTGTTCAACATCTTCTAAAGCTACTATGCCAATCAAATGAGCAAACCTACAGACCTATAATGCACAGAAGTTTACAATTATGAATCAGATTCTCTCCTCAAGTCCCCCTAGCAACATCTATGCCTTGGTTTTTCCATCTGTAAAGTGGGGAGGATATTGCCTACTGCGTTTGGGAAAGACAGAATGAGATCCCAGATGGATGAACCCACTCAGAACAAGCATTCAATCAATGTGAGCTGGACCTATGTATTAGTTCTCTCACACACATACATGCACATGCAAACATGTGTCTCTGTGATCACACTTACGGGGTCCTTGATGGTTTCAGAGAACAGGGGTGACTGATCTGAGAAGCAGGACAACACAAGTTGAATCAGCACAAGGGAAAAATAAATGTAGAAAGTGACATCACGAAACACGTCGACTCCAGAATCCTTTATGTGAGGGAAGAATGGAGGAAGAGATCACTTTCTGGAAGCTATGTGCAGAGGCCAGGGGAACAGGCTTCAGGCCCAGTGGCAGGGATTCCTGCCCTATCCCTCCTCCCCTTTAACACAGCAACAGATAGGCAGTCACACCCCAGTGTGGTCTATACCGCCTGGGGAGAGCATGGGAGGAGGTCCAGGCCTGGGAGTGAAACAGAGCTACATTCAAGGCCTGGCTCTGCTCATAGTGGCAATGAGACCTTATCATCTTACTTCTCGGTGCCTCGGTTTCCCCATCTATAAATGTGTCTCTCAATTCGGGTTGATTTTTACATCCCAGGGAGCATCTGGTAGTGTCTGGACACATTTCTGTTTGTCATGACTTGACAGGGTGCTACTGGCAACCAGTGGGTGGCAGCCAGGTGCACCCCTAAACATCTTACAGAGCACAGGATAGCCTCTTGCAGCAAAGATGTCTCTGGCCCAAGATGTCCACGAGTGCTGAGGCTGGGAAACCATGTCAGAGTACTTGTGAGAAGTCACTAAGACTAGTCATGAAAAAGAAAAAACTTGGTCCCCCACCTGGCACTTAGAAAACACTCAATAAATGTCAGCTGCCTTACAGACAGTCTACACGGTACCCTGAAGGTGCTCAATAAACACTCAGTTCTTTTTCCTTCCTTTGACTGACACCAGTTCCTGATTAGCTCAGAGATGACAAGGAACGAGAGGTTAGCATCTGAAATACATGCTCTTCCAATTCCTAGGGGCAGCACATGGCAGCAAGGTCACACGGGGACAGGTCTGGGGCCCCAGGGGAGCAGCTGCCCTGCAAACACCACTCCCTGCTCGGCTCTGCCCCAGACTGAGCAGAATCGCCTTTCTGTCTACTGCTCACAAAGGTTCAAAGGGTGGTGTGCATTTGCCCTGCGGCTCCCACCCTGGAGGACCAACATGGGCCCCTGAGAGCTACAGACAAACAGAGCCCCGAGTAAAGAAGGTTCTAGAACAAAGGCTGGATGGGGTATGGAAATCTCCAGGGAGGAATATGGGCCCCTGTGGTACCTGATTCCCCATTCCCATGGCAACACATGATTCCCACAGCCAGAAGGAAGAATCATCTCTCCCAAGGGCTACTGAGGGAAGACGCGGAAGGCCATCACTTACCTCTTTAAAGGCAGTCATGATTTTGGATCTCAGGATGGCAAAGGCACACAGTAGGGCTATAAGCCAGAAAGTGAGCATGATCCCTGAGGACTGGACTCCCTTCTTCCTCTCAAGCTGGTAGCAAGCAGCTGGAAGAAAGAAGCACACAACAGGAGTCATTGGGAGATGGCCAGGCCCCCATGTCCCCTGTGAGCCCCACACTCCAGGGGCCTAGAGCAGGGCTGCCCCAGCTCAGTAGGGCATGAACAGCCTGGGGAGGACCTGGCTTCAGTCCGAGCTCTGCTCTCTCCTTGCTGGGTCACCCTGGCCACTACTTTTGGTCTCCACTGGTGTCACGTCGATAACCAGCTCCTACTTACCATGGTGATGCCCAAGAGGGTTGGGCTGACCAGAAACACTGGGGCCAGGAATTTGCCCCAACTTCTTTCCCAGAAAGAGTAGAAGAGGTCTGCCCAGCAGATGATCCACAGCAAAAATCCCAAGGCCTGGAAGAGAAATACATAAGCATCTTACAATGGACAGCACCAGAACTTTCCCCAGCACCCCTGCAAAAAATTCAGCCTCAGGGGAGCCAGCCAGCTCCTAAACTATCAGTCACGGTCCCCTGATACAGCACATATCCTCTGGAACACAGACAAGGCTTAGGAAGGGTGAGCCACCCTCTGGGCCATCAGAGGCTGGGCTGTAACCAGTGTACTAGGTCCTCCTACATGCAGGCATGATTCTGGTCACCTAAAAACATAAGTGCTTGGTCTACATCCCATATACCTGCAAGCTCAGCACACTGCATAAGGCCCCCATGCAATAAACACTAATTCAACGATATTCAGCAACCAAAACTTACTGGGGCCCACGATGGGCCACATACTTTTGAAGGTGCCAAGGATACAGCAGTGAACAAAACGGAAGTCCCCTGCCTTCACAGAACTGAGCTTCTAAAGGGAAGGAAGCAGGCAAGAAACAAACTGAAAAATACAGACTATAATGCCAGTAAGAGACGGGAGGAAAAACAAAACAGGTAAAATGGGGTGGTCAGGGAGGGCCTCTCTGATCAGGAAACATCTAGGTAAAGAGCCAAAAGTGAACGTTTGAGAGAAAGAACAATCAGGAAGTGAGATTAGCAGGGACAGAGGCCCTGAGGTAGAAACATGCGTGGTCAGTGGGTGGCTGCTGTGGAATGAACAATGGAGGTGATGAGAAATGCCGGAAGAGGAGCTGGGAGCCAGATAAGCTGGGCCACTGTGAGGACTTCTGGATTTTGAACATGGCAGGACAAAATCTGATCTATGTTTTAAAGGGAGATGAAAAGTAGAAAATGCTCCCACAGGAGTAAGAGGAAGACATTAGACCTAGATGAGGACAGGAAAATAGCCATTTTGAGATAGACTTGAATCATGGTATGAACAGGACGGGTTTAGATGAGGTATTACAAGCTTAGAGACACTGAAGCTTTCCTGGGTTCCAAGGGCTTATGGGAGGAAGTCTTGGAAAATGTGGCTTTAAAAAAGAACAGAGAACATCTTCACCAACACTTGTTACTTTGTTTTCTTTTGTTTTGATAGTAGCCATCCTAATGGGTGTGAGGGGGTATCTCACTGTAGTTTTGATTTTCATTTCCCTACAAATTAGTTATGTTGAGTGTGCCTATTAGTCATTTTTTTATCTTCTTTGGAGAAATATCTATTCAAGCCCTTTTCCCATTTTTTTTTTTTTGCTTTTTAGGAGTCCTCTATATATTCTAAATATTAATCCCTTATTAGCAAATATTTTTGCCCATTATGTGGTTTGTCTTTTTTACTCTTTTGACATTGTCTTTTGACGTCAAAGAATTTTCCCAATAAATTACATGAAACACAGGCATTAATCTGAATGTAACAGGGTATAGAAAATTCTAAGATTTGCATATGCTTTTGAATCTATCACAGAGATAAATCATGAATAGTATCTGTGATCTATGTTAGTTTCCAAGCCTGTACTTAGTCAACAACTATACACTGGTCTCTTCATTACTGGATTTACTGTGTGCTCTGTATTTCAGGAGGATTGTTAATCATAATTATGATCAAATATATGAATAAACAAATGCATGTTATTAAAAAAAAAAAGAACGGAGATCCATGCTAAATTGAGAGGAGCATGTGGGAGGAGGAGCATGGTAGGTATACACTCTTCACGTGTCCTCCGGAGAAAGATTCTTCTTGCACAGGGAAAACCGTGCAGTGGAGAAACCAGACGATACTGTGACCAGAGATGAAAATTAACCCAATCAACTAGGGGCAGATGGACATGATATGATGCTAGATGAGAAGATACAGCACCCCCTGTGCAGCTTTCCAGCCAGAGTGCATTACCTAAATCTAATCACGAGGAAACATGCACGACACAGCCCAAGCTGAGGAACTTGCTCAAGAATAACTGGCCCATGTGCTTCAAATATGTCAATGTCGTAAAACACAGTGAAGAAACAGAAAGTCTGTTTCTCTCAGACTAAAGAAAACTAAAGCAACAACATACTCAGTGCAGTGCATGACCTTGGACTGGATCCTGACAGAAAATGCTAGAAAGGACAGTAGTGGGACAATGGGAAAAATTGGAATATAGACAGGAGGTTGTTGTTTTTAAAACTATCATGTCCATGTTGATTTTCTGAATTTCCTAACTATACTATTGCTACTGAAGAGAATATCTCTGTTTTGAGAAAAGATATACTGCAGAATGAAGAGATGTAGGGCATGGGGGATGCTTCCTATTCCCAAATGATTCAGAAGAAATAAATGTGTGTATGGAGAACAGAAGCTAATGATAAAACAAATATGGCAAAACATTAAAAACTGGTGACTGGCAGTAATGGGCACACAGGGCTCAGTACACTTGGCACACTTGGCATCATTCTTGCAACTTTTCTGCAGTCCGACATTATTTCAAGATAAAAACTTTTTTTTCTGAAGTAAAAAGGTATCTCTGGCCAGGCGGGAAGACCTCCTGATTACCATCTTGATATCTCTCGAGGTAAAATTCTCACATCCCCATTGGAGGTGAAGAAACATGCTTAAGGTCACACAACAGCAGAGTCCCAGCTGTCTTTATTTATCACTTTATTATTATTCTGTCTTCTAGAAAAAGGAACTCAGAGGCACTTACATTGAAGACACAAGTCAATTTACACCAATCACCACTCTCCACCCTGGCGCAGCCCAGCTCCATGGTGAAATCCCAAGTGACTCACAGTTTTGGCTTTGTTGAGATGTGTCATCTGAATGTAGCCCTGGTCATGGTGGGAGAGATAGAGGAAGTAGAAGGGGGCGCAGACCCAGAGGTACAAACAAGGCACCCACACAAGGGCAGTGTTCTGAAAGCACTTGGTGAAGTCAGGGTTGCTGGTGTTCCACGTGACGTTCCACTCCTGTGGACACAAACAGAGCAGGGTCAACAGGACGCACCAGAGACAGACGGGCCTGGGTGGAGTTCAAACCTAGCTGCCATGGGGTTTATAAAACAGACAAGCCCCCTACAGACGAGGAGGCCCTCTCAGGCAGAACCTGCACACTGGAAAGACCTGTAGACAGAACAAGGAATGAGGAACAAAGGCATCGCTCCTGGGACCTGTGACAAGATCCACTGTTGCATAAAAGACGGGACCACCATTTCAAGGCATCCTGAAGGGTAGTTCCCTATAAACTCGAACCATTCTTTCTTGATAATCTTGTGAGCTGAGCACCTTCTAAAATTCTTCTTCATCACCACCACCATCAATGCCACCACCATCACCACTATCACAATCCCCATCAGTAGCACTAGCATCATTGCTAACAAAGCCGCCGCCACCACCACCACCACAATCACAGCCACCACCACCACCATAACCACCACCATCGCAACCACCACCACCACCACCATCACAACCACCACCATCATCACCATCACCACCACCATCACAACCACCATCACCATCACAACCACCACTGCCGCCACCACCATCACAACCACCACCACCACCATCATCATGGATAACACCCAAATTGTAGCTTTATATACTAGGCCTTATTCTAAGTTTTTTGCATGTATTATCCCCTTTAATTCTGTAAGCACTTTACCATTCCTTTTTCAGAAGGGAAAATAAGGCACAGAGAGGTTCTGTGATTTTTGCAGTTGTCACACAGTTGGTAAGATTTGGAGCCAAATTCAAACTCAGGAAACTTAGTTCTGGAGTCCCTGCATTCACCACTAAGCGATCCAGGCTTGGAAACAAATTTGTTTTAGTTACTTTTACTTTTTAAGAAACTACCAGTATTTCATTAGAAAACATGTCAAAGAGATAAAATACACACATAAATGATCAAGCATATCTGCCCAAGAAGAAACTTCAACCAGCTGTTAGACTTCTGTAATGGCGAACTTAACTCAAGTCCTCACCTGCCAACTGACCAGCTGTATAACTTTAGGCAAAGTTATTACCTATCTTGGGGTCTCAATTTCCTATCTCTACCAAGATTAGATTGGATAAAATTAGAAGTCTGAAACAGGTGGCCCCCAAGGCAATTTGGCCCATGGATGGTTTATTATGTTGTTGCCGTGAGAATGCTTTTAAAAAATCCTAGGTTAGCTGACAACATTTAACCTCAGTAAATTTCATATAAAAATTTGGACACTCTCGCTTCTCTTAAAACAAAAAGAATCATAAAACCTGGCAGCTCCAAGCCCATATTCCTGATTCACAATCATCAGCAAGAGCTGGGGAGTAGCCAGTCTTTGGACAAGGTCCACGTGTTCCAGCTGGCCACATCCCCACACAGCCCACTTCCCTCCTAGCATTCTCCGTCCACCACTGGACGAGGCACTCTCCAGATTATCTCCAGATATTTCCGACTTCAACAATCTTCCCCCAGTCAGATAAGCAAGATCACCAAGAAACTCCAAGGACCCTGGAATCTTAAGGCTCCACACAAGCTTTAAAGCCAGATTAAAGAACATTAAAGAAGAGACAGGAAGGGGAACAAGCTGAGCATTTTACTTAAACATCTGCCAATCTCATCAAAACACAAATAATCTGCTTTTCATAAGAGACCTAGTTATGCACAATGTGAACATAGTTAACACTACAAAAGTATATACTTCAAAATGGTCAAGATGGTTAAAAAAATAAAGGATTTGACTTAAAAAAGAGAGAGAGAGACCTCTAAGTGTTAAGCAAGCACTGAATTGGTTCTTCAGCAGTATAGTTATTCTATGATATAAACTGTTATTTTTTCCAGAACAAGGAATCATTGAAAAGTGAATCTAAAAAGGTCAACACACACAAAGGGATTAGCTAGGAAACTTCCAGGCACAAAGAAACCCTAAAAGGGACAAAAGTCATGCTTCTGCAGACTTGGCCACTTTTGGTCACTTTTAGAAAACAGCCTTGTAAATAAGTAAGAATTGATCATGGAGAGAAGCGATTTATATCAAACACTCATTTTAACTCATTTCACACCACTTGGAATTCTTAAGGTGATGGTGCAAAAGGAGATTAAACTGTCGGTGGTTATTATATATACAGAACAGTTTCTGAGCACTTAACAGAAAAGGCTCATTCCAAAGGAATTTGCCCTTCTGTTGAGCAAACCATGCTGGGCCTTAATATATGCAGAATGTATACAAGAAGCTTGGTTCATGTGTAAGACATTTCAATAACCTGAGCCTTGCTACAGTTATTCCCTGGCCTGCACTATTGCCATAGCTTCCTAACCATTCCCTGCTTCCAGCCCCTCCTGCCCCACTAAGTCCTCCCCACTACAGCCAAAGTTATGGATCTATATATCCATGCTCGCATTCATATACCCACCTATCCATGAACTCATCCACAGATATACCCACTAGTCTGTCCATTGAGCCGCCCACCTACCCATCCATCATCTATCCATCCATGCACCAACTCATTCATCCATCTATCTACCCCCACCCATGCATCCATGCATTAATCCAACTGCCTACCCACCTACCCAGGCATCTATCCACATCTCTCTACTTTTAATAGGTAGTACATGTATCTGCTAAAACTTTTTCAAACTACATAAAATGGTCTACTATGAAAAGCAGGTCTTCCTCCCTCAGCTTGCAGCACTCTCAGCCTATCCCACAGGCAAAACTGCCATTGCTAACATCTTGTGTATAGTATCTTCCAAACCCAGTATACCCATTTTGTGTCCCCAAAAGGTACCACAACACATACCTGTTCTGTACCCTACCTTTTTTTTTTTTTACTTAACTAATATTAGAAACTGATCTTTATCAGTAACAAAGATCTGCCATCTTCCTATCCTGGTCCCTAGTTCCCCCTACAGTTCTCTCTAAAGAAGGCAACCATTATTGGTTTCTTTTGTACCCTTCCAGAAAATACTTTATGCATATGTAACACAAAAATAAATATATTTTTTTCATTAACAAATAGAAGGAAGCCCTTCTGTTCTGTACACTGTTTATTTTCACTTAATACCAGGTCTTAAAGATCATCCTGCACTGCCATGAACAGTTTCCTTATTCTTTCTTCCAGTTGCTTTGTAGTCCATTGTATGATGGACTTGATTCTATTTAACGGGGCTCCTGCTGACTGGGCATTGCTTTGTTCTCACAAACAACGCAGCAGTGCATAAATGATCTGGGAAGTGCTCATTTCATACATAGGCAAGCACATTTGTTAGATAACTTTCTAGAAGTGAACCTGCTGGATCAAAAGGTGCACAACACTTAGAGTTTAGACAGACACTGCCCTCCAAATAAGTATCATCTATTTATACTCCACCCAAGAAGGTTCAAGGGCAACTATTCCCCAAACCATCACATATTAAAAGCTTTTGATCTCTGCCATTCTGATAGAAGAAAATATCTCACTGTAGCTTCCTTTTCTCTTTATGATGAATGAAGTGGAAGATCTTTCTGTATGTTCTTAAGAGCTGTTAGGTCTTCCTGCTCACAGGAAAATTCAGACTTAAATGCTGGTGTTAATATATGGAATAACCTGATCATCCTCTCCTCTGGGTAACAACTTATAATGGCTGTCACCTTTAAAAGCCGACCTTCGCTGTGGTTCATGAGGCCTTCCACATTTGAGCCCCATCTGTTTCTCCTACAATTTCTCCCACCCTGTTCCCCGATGTGTCAACTCAGGAATTCAGGAAGAAGCATTTGCCAAACATGTGTCAGGTGCTGTTCAAGGCATTGGAGATTCAGGAAGGCCATCGTCCGTGCCTTCAATGCATTCCCCCAGCTGATGGTCAAATGAAGGGTTCTTCAGGCTACCTCTGTCTAGATGCTCTCCCTACAATGTAGCTCCACTGTAACAAACTCCTATTCATCCTTCAAAACTCATCTCAGATACCTCCTTTAAGAAGACTTCCTCCTCACCCCCCCAAACCATCAGACCCCCTACCCACCAAGCTTTACAAAGACCAGGCAAGGACCTCATTCCAGGACTGTGTTGTATTTACTTTTGACTCCTATCCTCCTCACCCAGATTGTTAAGTAAATGAATGGCCCATGCCATGCTTCTCCTCTGCAGCATTATTTCCTACTTTCTTTTTAGAAAAAAGAAACTTGCTGTGAACTCTGACCTTCTGGTGATGTGGATGCAGATTATAATGCTGACCTCCTATGAACTAGCAGATCACTTAACTTCTCTAAGCCCTAGACTCCCCTCTAGTAAAATGGTCAGGTAAACGCTGGACCCAGAGGGTTTTGGCCGGTATCAAATGGGACAATGTGAGAGGGGTGCTTTGCTCAGAGCTGGCACAGACCAGAGACAACAAACGGTGGCTATTAGGAGCAGATTCTATTCATCAACAATAATCACCACCACTACCATCAGCTCTGTTCAGTCAGAAAGCTTAAAGAACAAAGAAAAGCTCAAGTTAGGAACAGAGCAAGAGAAAATCAGGGAGCATCTAAGGACAGAGAAATCGGGGAAAGGAGAGGTTGGAGAAATGCTTAGCAAAGGAAGGTGTTTACTCTTCAGAAGGGAGCTTCCTGCTCAAAGCCAGATGGCTGGCCCTGACCAAGAGGGCAGAGACAGAAGGGAGGAAGCAGGAAGCAAGAGCATGAAAAGGGGAAATCTGATCGTGAGCATGAACTTTCACTGCTGCAGAACACAGCCAGTGCAGGTCGACTTTTATATAACAGTATGACTCATAACTTGGCGTGTGTAAATTTAGGGCCCAGCTATACCATACCTACTATATTATACTTCTGATATACATCAGTAATCTCTGAGGCTCAGCCCACCAGCAAACTGGGACAACTACCATCTCCTCCCTAGGAGACCATAAAAGCCCAAATAAATGTTATTACGATTACTCATAACCTCTTCAGCAGACTTTTTTAGAACCCATTTCTTTCCTTCTGTTCTCTCCTTTTCATATTCTCCTTGCC